TTAAATATAACTTGTTCAGGGTAACACAACTGGTAGTGATAGAGAGAGGATTTGAACACCAGTTTTTGTGATTCCAAACCCCTTAATCACTGTGCACGACAGGCATAGGCATTTGCCTTACTATGTTTGTTTGATGTCTCTCCCTGGTCTAGCCTCAAATAGGGCTGTGAGTCTCAGCAATTGTCTCCTTGGACTGGACGTGATGGCACCTAGCAGCCACAATCATTGAAGGCAACTCTCTTAGTAAGGGAATAAAACCTCATTCTACCGCCCCCTCTGTACTTGTTTGGGGGATATCTGGGCCTATGGGGGAATTGAGGGAAACCTCTTTAAGAGGCTTGAGTTCAGAAAGCAGACAGCTTTTTCTGGCTTAGTATTGCCAAAAAGTTACTAAGAATCCCCTCTTCCCCCAAGTGAAATTTAAGTTCCAGGTAGTGATGTCCTACTGGAGATTTTTCTCAACTGGCAACCCTGTTCCAAACCTCTTTTCCTTGACCATTCTGAGCTCTTCAGGAGAGTTCCCCCTCTTGGTTTTTTGCTTCTTTCACAAATCAGAGTGATAGCAGTTGCTTAGTAGCAGCTGAAGAAATAAGACAGTAAATGCAGAAAAAATCTATGGACTGGGACCCAAAATCTTTTCCACCCTTGAGCCATTTTTCATTATATCAGAACCTATTCATTCATGGTGGATGTTAAGCTTTCCAAGCCCTTTCTCTTGAGTCTACTGAAGACTACTAACTAATTGAGTAGCTCCAGGGCTAGTGTCTCTGTCTTACAGGGAATGATGGCAGAGTAATGCTTTTAAATGGGGCTGTTAAGAATTGACTAGCAGGGAGGATGGCTTCTCTAGAGGTACTTGCATGCAACTGTGGAGATTCTCCCTTTCAAAGAGCTAACAAGCCTTTTGAGTCTTATTTACTCTTAGCAAAGAGAATGACCTTATCAAACAGATTATCAACAAGAGAAGGTAGTCTTGAAAATGAGTCCCTGAAATAATCAGTAATAATCATATCAATTCAAGTTGAACTGGGCAGTCAATTGTGTAATGCCCAGGCTACTTTCTTTTCAAATGACTAATGTTGACTTATGTATGACTTCTGTGTATAAAACATTCTCTTGCTGGAAGGTTGATGCAGTTCATTTTTTATTTTTACAACACTAAAGTCTTAATAGAATGGCAGGACACTCTTGATTGATCAAAAGGGCCATACTTAAATGATTTAAAAATATGTATATAGGTTCCAGAAAGCAGAATGTCATATAAGTAATGTAGTAAACACTAGAGTCTGATTCTAGCCATTTTATTAGCTGTATTATCTTTGAGAAGTTCACTTAACCTCTCCTTGTTTGTTTCCTCTGTAAAATGAAGGAGTTTAAATTTGTGTTTCCCAAACTGAAACTTACAACAGATTACTAGAGATGATTTTAGGTGACATGAGATATGTTTTATCAGGCAGTTTCCTGATAAAACATTAAACATTGAATCACATAGTTGAGAAAGTTACTTCTTTTTCAGTCTTTCTGATTATGCCAAAGACAAAGTCTCAATTTGGTATCAAGATATCTTTAATAGTTCTTTAATGCTGGGTAATTGTTTGGGGGTAGAGGTGGAGGTGGGCAGGGGTAGACACTGTGAATCCTTCATTCCTCAGGAGTTTCCATACAAGGGAAATAAATTACATTCCTTAGAAGGGGAAAGAACAGAAGTGCTTTTTTGCTCTTTCTACCTTATTTCCCTTCCACTTTACAAGGAAAGGAATGTGTTATACTTTGGTGGGTTTGGGAAGAGGAACCAAACACATGAGGCACAGGCCTTTCTGGCTTCTCATGGTGTGGCCCGTTCTCAGAGTATGTGTTTTTTCTCCTCCACTTTGTAGTAGGCCTTGTTTGACAAACTCTGCTTAGGATTGCGTGGGAATTATTAGTAAACCCATGAAGCCAAAAATCCAAAAATATCCCTATTCTCCAATTCATTCTTATTGGTAATCAAGCTGATATTTTGATTGTCATTTTATTCTTCTCTCTGTTTCTCATTTTGTTTCAAACTCATAGGAGATGTAAGGGGAAAAGCAATTATCATCCATTAAAACCTCACCAATAATCTCCTTTTTAATAGCAAGCTGGCTTGAGCTCAGAGCCCTTTAATAAGCAATAGTATCTATATACAATTTGATAACATGGTTTTGTTTGCAGTGAAGTTACATTTACAGCTACCATCTATAAAATAAATTCACTTAAGTTTTGAAAAGTGAATTTTTTAAACATTAAATAGTACAGATGGACATGGTAAAAGCTTTAAAGGTGGTACATAAATGACTAAAGTTTTAAAAACATTGAATAAGATTATCTCCAGGATCTATTCCAGATTTAAATTGTTTTGAATGTGTATTCCAATAAAATAAAAAATGTTATGTGGTGGGGCCGGCCGAGTGGTGCCCTGGTTAAGAGTTGGCTTGGGACACCAGCTCTGAGCAGCAGGGTCCCAGTTCGGATCCCACATGAGGGCCAGTGATGCTGTGCCCTCTACAGCTAAAATGGTGAGCAACAGCTCGACCTGGAGCTGGGCTGCCGTGAGTCACTGGCAACGGCGTAGGCTGCAGTGGGACTGGCCGACAGCTGATGTGCGCTTTCGTGAGCTGCCGGTAGCCGCCGAGAGCGGCTGTCCAATGGCCTGCGAGAGACTGCCTCAGTCGGGAAGAGCGCAATGATAATACCAACATGGGCCAGTGAAGCGATGTTCTTCACAACTAGACTGAAGAGCAAAAGGACAGCAACTTGTCTGTTCCCTTTCCCCGATTCCCCAACGCTGTTCTCCTCCTCCAATTCCCCAATAAAATCTTAAAAAAAAAAAAATGTTATGTGGTAAACTAAGTAAAAGAAGGGACCTAACATAGCATGTACTGTGTTATTTTCTTTCATTTTGAAATGTATCATTATTGAGGAAGTTAACCTTTTATTCTATTCCATTTTTTCCATTTACAAATATAGATAACCTTTTCTTCATATTTTACATGGCATTGTAATATTGATATTTTTTTGGTAGCATGTTGGTGATGATATTTTATTTTTCTTTCACTGAAAGCATTCTAGTTCTGGGTGAGGTTTTTGAGCTGTAAATTTTGGAGGGCAAGAACCATGTCATCACTATATACTCTGCCTAGTACAGTGTTTGGCACATAGTAGTGTTCAATAAATATCTGAACAAATGACTGAATAACAAAGAATCAACAAAAATAAACTGAGTTCTCTGTCTTGAAGGTATAGGCATAGTTTTGTTTCTGAAAGCTGTCAGTAGGACTAGCTTTAAGGAAGATGATGCCGTGGGGCAATCAGAGGGTAATACTTTCATGTAAGTGCAGTTTGGAGCTAGTTACATGGAACATTTAGAATAACCTTATTAGGAAGGAATCACAAAAGGAAGTTAGCCCTATGAATTTTGCTTTTGTTTATGGTCATATATGAGAGGCTAGGGTCTTCCTTTCTTTCTCTTTTTGTCTTTTTATAAAAAATAACTACCTTTCTCCCTTTCTTGTTTTCTCTTTGATTCGTGTACTACTTATCATCTCCACATCAAGAAAAGCACCCCAATTTTCCTGGCCTTAGGGAGACTATTAGAGTTTAATTTAAAATGCAACTCACTTTTTCCCAAACACTCTTAATTACAGTTTCTTTTCTGATAAAGTTGCCCAACTCTTTCTTAACTGGCACCCTAGATGAACTGCAGTTATTGGTGGTAAATTTTTTAATTCCCATTTATTCATGCAACAAATGTCATGTTTCAAGGGCTTTGTTCTAAGAATCCTGTAATGAGTTTTACATATCAGAGAGAAAGAATATTAACCAGACGTTTTTAATTCTTAGTTATACCAACTGACTTTCTAATAACTATGCAGTCGATTTGAGTGATTATATTCCCAGATCATGTAATTCATTTTAAAACATTTTGCATATATGCAGAAAAACAGAATTTGAGGATTGTGTTTTATTCTGGTGAATACATTTTAAATGTATTGTAGGTTTATTCCTTGCAAGTATGTTCTTTCTTTAATGGTCCAGTGATTAACTGTGATTCTAATTTATTATGCACAATGACAGCATCTTAACTGGAGTTATTTTGTATGTTCAGGTTAATATTTTCTGTTATTGAAAATTTAATTCACATTTTATATTTGTGAAATCTCTCCACATGGTATCTTTGTGTCTTCTAGTTATTACTGCATGGTATTTAATATGTAAAGTAAACTTTAGGGATGCTGACTGTCACATTTTGGTTCTAATTGTATTATAGAATTAATAGATCAGTAACATTAATGATATATAGTGGCTGGATTCTGAAACTAATCATCATTGACAAAAATTAGCATCTAATCTCTGTTCTAACTTTAATGTCATATCCAGGTAAACACAGATTCTGTTATAATTGAGAATATAATAAGTCTACTTTGGCCAAGAAAAAAAAGACTTTAGAATTACCTTTGTTTTTTTTTTCTTCAAAAGATATAGATTCTTGGCTTATAATTGTAATCTTTAGGTATCTCTAGAGTCATGTGCTCTGTCATGAAACTAATGCAAGAGCCATTTGCTATGACAAGCTGGAAGCTTCAAAAACATTTTATTGTCTGATTAAAAAACAACAATTACAAAAAACAGAGCTTTGCCTAGCTGGCTGTGTCCACTGGCAACATGGGTATTCTCTGATTAGATACTTCGAGTGCTGGATACCATCTTTATCTGAGGTATGAGGTGTTGATATGGCAGCATGTTATGACAGAAATGAAAGGACTATGGATTTGAGAGGCACAGCAGCCTGAACGTGAAATTCAGCTATCACTTTTGTGCTAACACCTTGGGCAAGTTACTTAACTGCCTGTGTGAAGTGAAAATCATAATTGTTCATCAGAAGTTGCTATGAGAATGATGCACCCAGACTGAGTTCTTGTTAAATGGTAGTTGTATGAGGAATGCAGTGTGGTGATGATGATGTTTGGATATTCTCTCAGGTGAAATAAAAGACAAAAATGTGCAGGTGGTCGAGCTCCCCATTGTAGACAGTCTTCATCCTCGTCCTCCGTATTTACCGCTGGCTGTCCCAGAAGACCTCGCAGAACGTCTAGTTCGAGTGCATGGTGATCCTGCAGTGTGGTGGGTGTCTCAGTTTGTCAAATACTTGATCCGCCCACAACCCTGGTTGGAAAAGGAAATAGAAGAGGCCACCAAGAAGCTTGGCTTCAAACATCCGGTTATTGGGTAAGAATCTGACTTGCACCTCCTAAAGTGCTATGTGGTGGCAGGGATATATGCCTTTACAATGTATTGTGATTTTTACAATATACAGTTTAATTTTCATAGCTTCATCCAAAAACAGGTTCCAGAGTTCACTTTAGGCTACAGGGAGACCATTCTTCCTTTGTTCACTTAGAACAGCTGAGTCATCATACTTTGTCACCCTTAGTTTATTTATACATTCAACAAATATATTAAGCCCGTATTTCTGAAATTGGCTGTCTTTCCTGGGGAAACAAGCAAACAAGTAAAGGGAGTATTCTGGATCTTCTACATGACTCCTATCTTACCCTAAAGGGCCATGAGATGAAGCTGTCACATTCATAGCTTTTCGATTGCACCTTATTCTTAGGCTTCATTAATTGCCATTGGTCATTATTTTGCTTTTTTGATATTCTATTTTTTTTCTGTCCTGGAAGTTATTTTGAGAATAAGGATATCATTTGTACTATAAGATAATGTTAAAATTATTATTTTAAATGATCTCATGGCCCACTTGGGAGTTATAATGTACATATGTATTCAGCCGCATGCTTATGTTAAGGGAGATATATCAGGAAATCCTGGGAGCAAGAAAAATCCAAAAGAGCATATTTGTTCACAAACGTGTGCTCCTGTACACATATATAAACAGTTATGGAAGAGGAGTTTTCCTGGGTCCTGATGCTAGATTTCACACCATTGGAAATGTTCTTTGCCTAATGGAAAGAATACTGCACTGAGAGTTAAGAAACTGGGTAATATTCCTGGCTTTTCCCTAGTGCTGAGCCAGCTTACTTTATAGTAGTTTTAGGCTTTGATTTTTCCATCTATAAAATAGGGTAGGTAATACCTGCCCTAAAATGATGATATGATAATATAAGGATTTAAAAAGGATTTCAGTTCTGTGGGAAAATGCACTGTAAAATATTATCACCTTTCAGAAAGATTGATGCTTAAATAATTCCTGAAAATAGACTTGTAAGCTAGACTATGGCATTCTGTAGCTTATGTTATTTGTGATAAAGTCAGCTATTGATTAATATTGATACATGTGTTGATTCATTCACTTATTTGCAGGATGTTTATTGAATACCTGCTAGTGTAGGGGACAGAGATTAATTTTTTTAAATGTCCCCTTGTGGCTCATTACAGTGTATGGGATAAGAGACTTGCACAACTAACATTGTATGGGTAGAATGTGATAAATACTCTGAGAGAAGTATAAAAGTATTATAAGAGGTCAGGGAAGGGGAAATATACTTCCATCTAGATTAGAAAAGATTTCATAGCTGCAATGTTTGAACAGGATCTTGAAAGATGGAGAAAGATAACAGTATAGTAGTTAAATTACCAAAATATCTTTAACTACATTATCTCATCAATCTTGTAACACAGTCCTGTGAAATGGGCAGAGATAATTATTTTACAGGTGAGGAAATTTAAGAAAAAAATTTATCTGCCCAAAGTTCCAGAACCTTCTAACTTTGTTTGGATTTCCTGTAGTTTTACATATCAGAAATCAACCCTTATTAATTTTCCATTGACCATCCACCATATTGAAAATTGACCAAATGTAGAGAAATGAAGTACCACAGACAACTAAGTTATTTGCACATTAGGCAGTGTGCTGTAATGAAAGAGGGGTGCACTGGGATTCAAGAATCTGGGGATCCTACCTAGCTTCCAGCACTAACAAGTTATATGACTTGATCATTCTGGGACTTCATTAATCGCCACCCTTTCCTCATTCGTTTTTTTAAAAAATAAAAAACTAGATTAGATGGTATTTAAGGTTTTTACTAACATAATGCTAAACAATTAGACTTTTGTGTCCACTCACTTATTCTTTCATTCATTCATTCATTCATTCATTCATTCATGGTGTTTGGTGTGTTTGGTGCAATTGGGAATAAATAAAATCAGATTCCCTGCCTCAAAAACTCTTGATATTTAATAGTGAAAATCAGTGGGGTACACAAATAACTTTTACTTTTGTAAAGACTGGGTTGAAATGTATATAAGAGAAACCAGCCTCCCTTTGTCTTATGTTGTCTTTTTGTTCACTGACATGTCTTCAGAAGCATCAGTTTCCTTAAGTGTCAGATGAAAGAGTTACATTAAATGAAATGACTTCTAATATCCTTCACAGGTCTAACATTCTGATTTTTCCACAGAGATTTCACTAAGGTCCTCTGTCAAATTATTGATCCAGGCCTAATTTCAGGAGTACTTGGAGAATTGAGAAAATTGCTTAGTAGTACTCTACCATTGTCTCAAATGCTCTTCTTCCTTTTATTCTTCCATTATTACAGCTCTCCTTTGTTTTTATTTTTGTTTTCATAGCTTCCATTCCACTTCATCCCTTGAGTCTCAGTCTTGATATGTATAGAAGTTACTGACCCCTATTCCAAATGTTAGGGCTAAAGAAAGTCCATGGTGAAATCAGGGTATCATATAGTATTTCTTCTCATGAAAATTTTCATCAAAATTAGTAGAACTGTATTTTTGTCCCTCTTCATCTTTGTGGAGCACAGTGAACAATTACAATTTCCTAAGAGAAGCAGTGATTAAGAATGATGTGAGAAGGAAAAGATGATAGAAGTGTTCTTACAATAATATTCACATCTAGAATATAAAGGAAAGACTTGCCATGAAGATATCAGAGTAACTTCAGTAAAATCAAACCCCCACTCCAGATTCATAATAAAAAGCTGACCTTTTTTTGATCTAAAGGGAAAAAAAATCTACCTTTTTCCTTTTCTGACATATGAGTAGTGGTTTAATAATTTGGGGAGATGGGAGATACAGAAAGGGCAAATTTAAGGCAAGTTTTAATGTATGAAAACAAACTATGATTACTATTCTTATTTTTGTTAAAATTACTTTGAAAGTACTAAGATGGGGGGAAAATACTGTGGAAGTCAATGCCTTATTCAATGCAGGACAATGTAAACGTCTGTCCCTAATTTTACAATTTTGGAGCTTTTCTTAAATAGGACAGATGAGATCAGCATCTGCTTGTGTTTGATAGAGTGAAAACGAGAGAAATGAAATTCATTATGCATACAAAAGGGCTGGAATGGCTCCATGAACTTATTAATAGTAAGAACCCTTAAATCATTTGCCTGCTTTGACTGAATCCTGCTTTGATTGAAGAATCCATGCTGGTCTGTGTTTTCCTGGAGCAACTTTTAATTCCTCAAGTTGGCAGTTACAGTTACTATACAGGGTAAAATGAAGAAAAAGACAACTTACCATCAAAACATTACAAACAATGTATTTAATGTTCTATAATAAGAACTGTGAATCTTGGTATCATTTGTTGTAAAAAATATACCCAGTTTTTTCTGAAATGCTGGTTGGTATTTTGCTGCCTAGTATGGAGCCTAACTCTGAAATCTCCCACTTATTCCTGATATGCCAATTACTTTCTCTATGAGAAAGCATTCTTTAAAGGCTTTACTTACTTTTTAATTCCCCTTGTATTGTGTTAATATGTAAATATGTTTAGAATGTATGTGTTTGAATTCTAAAAAATATTTGTTTTATTTTTTAAATGGTGAAAATGAAAGAAAAAATGCTTTTAAATGTCCATAAGGCTACTATGAACAGTGCATGCAGTGGGTCAGAACATTACCAGCAAAATCTGACTTTCTCTCTCTGCCCTCCCTCCCCCCACACCACCACCACCACCCAGAGTCCATGTCAGACGCACAGACAAAGTGGGGACAGAAGCAGCCTTCCATCCCATTGAGGAGTACATGGTACATGTTGAAGAACATTTTCAGCTTCTTGCTCGCAGGATGCAAGTGGATAAAAAGAGAGTGTATTTGGCCACGGATGACCCTTCGTTATTAAAGGAGGCAAAAACAAAGTAAGTAGGATGAAGGAGGATGAACTAGTAATTCTAGAGTGGGACTCTTCAGTTGAAAGGAATCCTTAATTCCCATGTGTACTTATGATTCTTGTTATAATATTATTACTGATTATTGGGGTTTTTTTCATTCAAACAACTGTTTGCTTGTGTAACTTGTTAATATAATCGAAGCATATGTGGGGTGCCAGCAAGAAGTAGGTTTCATTCTGGAGCCTCTTTTCTTGGCTTGTAGGCAGCTACCATCTCACTGTGTACTCATATGACCTCTTTGTATACCAAGAAAAGAGAGAAAGCTTTCTGGTGTCTCTTCTTGTAAAATGCACTAATCCCATTATGAGGGCCCCACCCTCATGCTCTTATTTAACCCTAGTTACCTCCCAAAGGCCCCATCCAGATATCATCACATTGGGGTTAGGGCTTAAACATGAATTTTGGGGGTACACAAACATTCATTCCATCACACTGACCAACTGTGCAGGACTGTTAGCAGTGAAACGCACCGGCTACTTGTCCTTTTGCCCTCACTACCTTCACTAACAGTTACGGGCAACTGAAAACATACGTAAGATACAAGTTTCAGCTTATAAAAATTTCTGGAATTTGGAGGTTATGGTAAAGAAAGGTAAAGAATCAAAAGATGAGTTTTGTAAGTGCAGGAATAGGACTACTAGTATGTATTGAACGGTAACCATCATTTATTGAGCCGCCTATATTTCCAGCACTGTGCTAGGTGCTGGGGATTCCATGATAAGCAAGGCACTCTCTGCTCTCCAGAAATTTCCGGTCTCCTGGGGAAACAGACAATTACTCTATAGTGTGAGTAGTGCTACAATAGAGTTAACATTGGGTGTTATGAAAACACATAAAGTGCTGTCCTGATTGAGAATTTATCACAGGATCTGCATGAACCAGAGTTGGTCTTTATTTACTATCAATAAAGGATGGTTAAATATATGTGAAAGTAGGGAATGAGTGAGAAGACTAGTGTAGTCTTAGCTCTGCTCAGATATTATCTATTCCAGAAATCATCCCCAAATACTTGATTAAGTGTCCCTCCCCTATTACTGTTTAGCACTTGCTTACTTCTGTCTCCCTTACTTGTTTATAAGCACTTTAGATGCAGCACCTAGCGCTAGTAACTAGTGCCCAGTAAATACTGAATTATTTCAATCCCATCAGTTTGTGAAAGCATTTTATTAGCAGCTAATCATTTAAGCTGTTTGACTATTTAATTAATTTAGTGCTTGGTCCCTTTTTTATGTCACAAATGGGGGTTGGGAAGAAAATCAAATTTAGAATGAGGATTTTAATGCAGGTATTTATCCAACTCATTTGATAATACTTTAAATCCTATTTCTACCTCCTAAGAATTCAAATTAACCCGATATAAATTGCTTTTTTTCTTAACTCTTTCTGTGGAGTGAACACACACATACATGCACTTAAAAGACTGAAAAATTCATCAGCAAAGTATAAGCCAAGTTATATAATTATAATTCTTATATAAGCGTTAGGGATTAAATGAAAATTTGGGCATAAAACACAATATAAAATTTGTACAAGTATTTTTCCAGTTTAATTTCACACCTATTAGAGAGGGACAAAGTAAAAATTGTTCACCATGCTCATTTTAAAATACCAAACTGAATTTGTAGCTTGGTTGAAGAAATATTAAAATATTAATTTTATCTACTCTTTTATTTGTTCTTGAATGCATTACAAGCTTTTTTCCTTTTTTTCTTTTTTCTTGATTAGCAAAATAATTCATGCTCATTAGAAAATATGGAAGTTGGTAAGTATAAAGCAAGGAAAAAAATATTACTCCAAATCCCGTTACTCAGTGGCATCACCTGTTTAAATTTTGACTTATTGTCTTCAGTCATTTATATAGTTACACATTTTAGTAGTTGATCATATTCTGTATAATTTGAACTCTTTTTTTTCTTTTTTTGCTAAATAGAGCAATAGATCCGTTTTCCTAAGTCACTTTAAAAAATCATTTTAAGCATCTTTTTTTTTTTTTTTAAAGATTTTATTGGGGAATTGGTGGAGGCGAACAGTGTTGGGGAATCAGGGAAGGGGAACAGACAAGTTGCTGTCCTTTTGGTCTTCAGTCTAATTGTGGAGGACATCGCTTCACTGGCCCATGTTGGTATTGTGATCATTGCGCTCATCTCGTGTGAGGCAGTCACTCGCCGGCCATTGGAGGGCCACTCACGGTGGCTCACGGCAGCTCACATCAGCTGCTGGCCACTCACGCTGGCTGCCAGCCACTCATGGTAGCTCACGGCATCCCACTGCAGCAGGGGCTGCAGCCTATGCCATCGGCGGTGACTCACGGCATCCCAGCTCCAGGTTGAGCTGTTGCTCACCATCTTAGCTGTAGACAACGCAACATCACTGGCTCTCATGTGGGATCTGAACCGGGGCCCTGTTGCTCAGAGCTGGCATCCCAAGCCAACTCTTAACCAACACACCACTCAGCCGGCCTGTAAGCATCGTTTTTAATGACTATGTATCCACTCTATGGATATGCCATTGCTTATTTGATCATTCTTTTAATATTGGATAGTTAGGTTATTTTTACTCTTGTAAATAATGCTATGATGTGTGCCTAAATTATCTACATTATTTTCTTAAGCTAGATTTCTCGACTTGGAAGTATTTAGATAAAGGTATATGAGGTTCACTGTAATTACAGGGGCTGCTTGGTTTGATCCATAACACAGCATTATAATTTTACACCAAGCAACCCTTGTAATACAGTTGGCAGTACTTGGATTATAGGAATACTAAAACTTGAGTTTCCTTTTTGTGATCAGCAGTTAGTAACTCCTCTCCCCATGGTCGTCCAGGCAGCGGTTTCCCCCATATTCGATTATAAATGCATAACATTTTATGCATATTTTTCCTCTTTGAAAATAAATCCTTTAATTTTCATTTTCTGAGTCATGAAGATGAGTATCTCCCTCAGTCTGGAGAAGGAGTTCAGAAAAGAAAAATTTGATGTTAGTTTATAACTTCAAGATAGTCCTTTGTGGGTGATATAAAAAATAAGTTTTTATAAGGTGAAAGAAGAAAAAAATATTTTTTATCATCACCAATTTCTGCAACTTCACAGAGGACTAATTCCTCTGCTGATATACTTGTGGGCAAAAGACAAAGAAGTGTGTTTGTACAAAAAGTTCCATGCTCAATTATTTGAGGTGCAAAATCACCTTCTCCCCTTATTCACTTTGTTTCTGCTTGTTTTTTTCCACTCAGCATCCTTCATCAAGTGGTTGTTTGCATATAGAGATAAGGCCTGAGGAACTTAGGTATGATTCCCTGGGAGGGAACCCTTTTAGTGTGGTTCCAGGGAGTCAAGTTCAGAAGTTTAAGTTCAGAAAGGCATTGACATTAAGTGTCACTTCTCAATAGAAGGATCACTCTTTTCTTTGTTTCACTAAAGCACCCAAACCATGCTGACAAAGTCAGTCTTTATTCAAGGATAAAACCTGTCCTGATGTGTTTTAGCAATTCCCCCTCTCCTTCACCCTGAAGCCTTTTCATATTTATTTATTGCTGTCTCTATCCCATGCCTATATATCCAGCTTCACAGGAATCACATTAAAAGTCTTTCTGGTTGCTTTCTTTTTAGAACAAATGTGATATTTCCTTCATCTCCCTCATTCAGAGCCGAGAAGGGCAAAATGTCAAAAATAATGAGGCCAAATAGATCTGAACACTGAATACCAGCCTGAAACAGTGCTCAGAGACTTTGCCTTCACAGTCATTATTAGCGGCAATGGGGAAAGCTCCGTGGTGACTGTGAAATGAAGAGAAATCTGAAGCAGCTGTTAGGGGATTAGGGGGAAAGCCCCAGACATAGGTGGCACTCACTTGTTCATGTATTTATTCACATAGCATTGTGTGGAATGCTAGATGCTGTGAAGCAAAGGAAAATAAGGTATAGCCCCAATTGGGTGGAATACTGTGTAGGAGACAGACATGTAACCTGACTCCTAATGTTTTTGGTTTATAAATAGGCACTGTTATTCTTTCAACAAATATTTATTGATCCTCTGTTATATCCCAGATTCTCTTTGAGGTGCTGAGAATAATAGAGTGAACCCAGCATATGAAATGCCTCTCTTTAGTTAGGGATGATGGAGGTGGGGAATACATGCAGACAGTAAATAAACAGTAAATATATATTATGTCAAATGATAATAAGAGCCATGAAGAAAAATTAAGCTGGTATAATAAAAGGGATAGGAATTGCCAAAGTCCTCACTAATAAGGCTATATTTGGGCAGAGTTCTGAAGGAAGTAAGGAATAAAACCAGAGGGATGTCTGGGAGAAAAATTCACAACCAATATTTATTGAGCAGTTACTACATGTCAGATATTCTTCTAAGTACTTTATGTTGCTTAATGTATTTAATTCTTACAAAATTATATAATAAGTACAGTTATCATCCCATTTTCATGTAACTGTCCAAAGTTTGCAACTTAACTCTGAAGGTCTACCTCATGCACTGAAAAACTTTATTCACTCTATTCTAGAGTATAATTAAACCTCTAATTCAGAGTACAATCATTTGAACATAGGGTGGACTTTTAAAAAACATTCTGATTTAATATTTTTAAATATCCTATGTTAAAACTACCAAAATGTTACTTGGTGGACATCTACAAGGAATTTACTCTCAGAGAAGTATTAGAATGGTTTTCCATTACCATTACTGGTTAAGATGGTGCTTCAAGGATGGCGTTTAGGGAAGAAGAGCCTAAATTATCGCAAATTCTGCATTAAAAATTTAAATGATGTTTAATTGTGACATTTATATTCCAAAGGAAAGCATCAGTGACCAAATGAAAGCAGCTTGACCTCTTAGAAGTTACTCATTACAAAAAAAATAGGGAGACTTCTGTTTTCAACTCTCTCATGAATTGAGAAGGACGTTTTGATACATCTATGTATATTTTATATGGTATACCAATAACATAACATACAAGGTACTCCAGTTGGTTTCTGCCCCACTGATGGATTCAAAGATGCTTCGTTGACTGTTCTGTTGAATGCCATAATTTTAAAGCTCTCTTTACTGTTAGAAGAGAGGAACTCTTAGTCACAGGAGCAGGTCTGCCTCCTACTGATAGGATAATACCTCCTAATAGAATACTGTGATTTCAGTGACTATGTGTAAATTTATTTCTTTTTTCAGGTACCCCAGTTATGAATTTATTAGTGATAATTCTATCTCTTGGTCAGCTGGATTGCATAATCGATACACAGAAAATTCACTTCGGGGTGTGATTCTGGATATACACTTTCTGTCCCAGGCAGACTTCTTAGTGTGTACTTTTTCATCCCAGGTAAGTGACAGTAGGGTGTTTTCAAGTGGCCAATACTTTTTGGTTATATTGGGGTCTGGAACTTCTTGTTATTTTTGTTTTTGTTTTTTAATGTTGGGACTCTGGTACAATCTTCCTAATATTTGGAATAATCCCTTTTGTAAAAGTATGAGAAGATTCTCCCCAAAATAGCTATTTAAGAGCACTGAATATTTAGTTGTTTGCAAGTAATGGTTGAATACATCTCCGTTAAAACTCCACTTAAAAAACTGGAGTTTTTTAAAGTACTTGGCTTATTCACAGCATTTAACAGAAAAAAACAGCAAGTAATTAAGCTTACTTAATACTTTCTGATTTTTGCATACAATCAATTTGTAACCAGAATCCATCCATTTCTACATATCAGTACGCTGATTCTGAGAGGCTTAAATGCTCATTATTTTGCCTTACTTGATTGCTTTATAAAAAATAAAGAGTAAATGTATTGGGTTGTTGGAAAAGTCATGACGCATTTTTGCAACGAAAAACATAGAAAAAAATACATCATGACTTTTCTGTCAACCCAATAATTCCTCTTCAAGTCCTATTACATTTCTACCAAGCAAGAAACTGTACATTAAATTTAAGCAGTACCATATTAAAATCATTCTTTGAGTTTAATTGTTGCAGATAATTACATGTTATGGGTTTGGTGGGTGTGTTTTTATGAGTGGTCCAATCAGCCTTATATTCCCAGTGGAATATCGTCAGAGCAATATCTGTTGTGGATTTTATTCTGCTCTTTCATTTATGGGCATATTATTAGCTAGTTCGTTCAACAATCTGTTAAACAACTATTTGCTCAGAATTATACTAGGTGTAGAGGGAATTTCAAAGGAGATAAAGATACAGATCTTTCCCTAGTCCAGAATCTAGTGAGCAAAATACTCACATGAAATAACTAGAGAATAATTAGCAAGAAATATAAATCATATAAGAATAATATATGCCTAAAAGCATAGAAGAAATTGAGAAAAGAATGTGAAATAAAAGCCACATCATTTTCACGGGAATATACTTCAGAAAGTATAAAGAAATGGGTAGTTTCCTACTATGTGACAATGCACATTGTCACAATGGCATGGTGGTATGATTGTTGGAAAGATACCTACCCCAGCAAAGCCTGTATGAGTTTCTTTAATATGAAATAAGAATACAACTCACTACCCACAAAGACATCTACACAGAACAGGAATCACATAGGCAGCAACCTTAGTCAGAAGGGAAAAAACTCCTTTGGCCTTCAAGTTCCCATGAAGGCACCCACTGCTGATGTTTCTCCCGAATTAGGGTGATGATCCTGTCTTTGAGAAGCTCCTTTTACCATTCTCAAGGTGGGGCAGCGGCGGAGGATAATAACTACTTGGTCTCTCAACAGTTTTGACAATCAGGCTATGTGCCTCCCTGATCAACAGGTGCATATAACTAGTAACAACCTCCACACATTTTTGAATGCTTATTGTTAGAATGAATGAATCAGGAGTCACTTTCCCAGATGTATCACCTCCTCTACAGGTCTAGAGTTTAGGCCTGCCTAAAGTCTATCACTCTAGACGAGGTTTCTCAGCCTAAGCACTATTGGCATTTTGGGCCAGATAAATTGTTGTGAGGCACTGTCCTGTGCATTGTAGGATATTTAGCAGCATCCCTGGCCAGTAGCACCCACACCTCAAGTTGTAACAACCAAAAATGTCCCCAGACATTACCAAATGTCCAGAGTGGGAGCAGGGGCAAAATCACCCTTGTTAAGAACCACTGCTGTAGTCATAAAGCTCTAAAATTAAATAAATGTATACTACATGTCTCAATATCTAACCAGCCTTACATGTCGGTAGGCGCTGAGGCTTACAGGACTGTGCTTCTATGCTTTGCTTTCCTTCTTCTAGCATTAAAAGCACCGTAGGACAAAATTACTTTTCCCCCCCATGTGGCACTCTCTGTTGTTTTAATTTCAAATCCACACACAACACAATTGGCCTCACTAGTCTTTGAATCAGATTTTGGAAAGTACAGAGGGAAAAACTAGATATTAGATTAATTTTATTCCAGACAGATAGTTCTGAATAGCAATTTCCATTGAGGTATGGCTCATGAAACAACAGTGGACACTGTTTTTTCATTGAATACCAAAACAAAGTATTGGGTTGTCGGAAAAGTCATGACATATTTTTGCAATGAAAAACATAGAAAAAATACGTCATGACTTTTCCGACAACCCAATAGTTTACAGGATAAGTGCACAAATATCCCAGCATCACCTAACGAGACAAGAGCCCACTTCTAACTTTGCACACTAGGAGATCCTCCTGTCTCTGTCTATTTTGACGACCAAAACAATCCCCAAAAAACAAGGTTCCATCTCCTCTGAGTAAGCTTTGGAGGCTCATGCAAACTCAGCTGGCTGCTACTCGGGGGTAAAATTAAGACTAATGGACCTTCCTCCCTTTTTAATTGTTTTTTTTTTCAAATACAGTCATATCTATGTTTTATCCTTTGTCAGTTGTTGTTCTTAACTGTTACTGTGTTCTAAAAATGATATAGGGCCATAACAACGCAGAATGAAATAAAACATATAACATGTGGCCAGCTACTGCTTTTCAAACTAAAGGGTTTGCCCCTCTTAGTCACGCTGCCTTGTCAGGTTATCAAACTGACAGGTATTGACATCAGCTGAAAGCCGTCATTTATCTGCCACATAATTTGAATTTGTAAAGCCCATAGAGGAAACCTAAGGTGATTAAATGCAAACATCAACATTATAGTAATCTTTCTAGCTTTTTGCAATAAATTGCCCCATGGTTAATATAGAGAAAATGTGTTAACTACTCAGAATGTTGTATATGGATCTTAAGGATTAAATATTTCCCATGGACTTGCACCTCCACTGCTGCGCTAGTATTATGCATAGAGCAGTATTGATTCAACACATACTTACTAAGTGCCTACTGTGTGGCAGGCACTGTTCTAGGTATTTATCCCAAGGCAGCTTAGAGTATGATTGAGAGCCAGAAAGAGTACTAATTGTAGTTCTGCTGTTTATTAGCTCCTTTTTCATTTTATTTTAATTTTTGGAAATTTACATACTTTTTCTGTGGTTTAGTTTCTTCAACTATAAAATGTGAAAATACTACTACTTATAATAACCACCTCATAGGGTTCTTGTGAGTTTTTGAGTTTGAAAAGAGAGAGCATATGCAAGTACACTATTAGAACAGTACCTGGACCATAATCAGTGCTCATTAAGCTCAACTGCTGTCATTTATCACCATTATGTGAAAGATAAAGGACCTTATATTGGTTCACCTGGTATCCGAAATTTTTACCATTCATTATTTCTTTGGCTTAAGTAAATATATGTGTTATCCAGCAAGCTAACACATCAATAACTATTGATACCAAGGTGTAAACTGATAATTAGGATTATTCCTCCCAACAGTCCTAAAGGTGTAGGACTGAGGGTAATGTTTTCATGAGAGTGAGATATTTAATAGTGGAGAGAAAGAAACACATTAGGGTTCTTTGCTACAGTGTACATTGTGCTCATCCCAAGGGCAATACAAGGTCATGCATTTCTGACTAGGGATATTTGAAGAGTGAGTGAAGGAACTCTGAGAAGATGCCTCTCAGGTTTGCCCAAGGCTCGCCTTGGACTTGTTTTATCTTTCTGGTGTTATAATTCAAACATAGAGAACAGAGTCTATAAGAGAAAATATGCTTAGCAGTTAACTAGCACACACAGACTCCCTGGGTTCAAAACCTGAACCTTGGGCAAATCCCTTAACTGACCTTTCACATCTGCAAAATGAGCATGATAGAATTTTAGGGGGCAACTGAGAGGATTAAATTAGATAATACCTAAAAACAATGTCCAACAGCAAAAACTCAGTAAATATTAGCCTTTATCATTTTTATTGTACTTCACTATTGTTGGAGCTGCTTTGTTTTAATTATTTAGTTTCTTCCTTTCCAGAGTCTCCACTTCATTTTCCTTGCCCTGTGTGGGCCTTTGGCTGAATTTCAAGTTCAAGTTCCAAATCTTTTTGAACCTTATTTTGTTACAGTCTCAGTGTTTTACCAGGGATTTCAGTTGTACCATGACATTCCCAATGTCAAATTAGTTTGTTGATAAAGTAGCAAACTTGAATTCAAAGTCATTATCTTGGTTCTATGTCTGGTTGAAATTCTAGCAGTAGAATTTGGACAGATGACTTAATCTCTTTGTATTTTAGTCCCTATTTGCAAAATGTAAAATACTGTCTAAACTTCATTTCTTTTACAAATTACACATAGCATTTGGAAAGCACCCCTCAAATTCCTGAGATTAAGATTCTTCAAGACATTAAGGTGATAATCAGATTCCATTTGCTCATAACAATTAAGAATGAGCATCTCCATTCAATTTTGATTTCATGGATGTCAGTTTTAAAGGATTTCTGGGTAATCCTAAATTGTCCTAATGATCAGATTAACAATTACTATTAGTAGTTTCATTTTAAATAAATGCAAACCTATTAGTATAGGGACAATAAAGCTTCATTAACTGAAATAACCACAATTGGAAATTTAGGAAAATTTGACCTGAGTTGAGCTCTGTTCGCAATGTATAATGGAAGATTTTTCTAAGCAAAATTATAGTATTCTCTCTTCTTTCTTCACCTATTCTTAGAAAAGTTCCTGAAACCCATTTATGCTATAATGAATGTATTTATTAATTGCTTAAAGTGTTATACCTCCATGAAGATAGTATAGTCTAACTTTATCACCAAGCATTAAATGAAGCTCAGATTGTGGAATTTCAGCTGTCATCCAGTGGGCATGGTAGGTATTCTTTGGACAGAGGTATCTTTTAAGTAGCCTTAAATGCATCAGGTAGATGCATCTTCCCCAAAGGCTAGTCCAACTTATATCAGTCCTAGAATGCTGCTATCTACACAACACACTTAAAACTCTTTAGAATAGAAATTGCAGATATGTTTTGGCTCACTTGCCAGTCTAATTAATTGTCAGTAATTACATGGATTTCTGTTGAGAAGAGTTCTGAGTCCAAGTCCAAATTAGCAGAAAAGAAATTGATTAACACTGAATGAAGGAAAGGGAACAGCAGCATTTTTATAAAGTATTTATAATCCTAAACCTTAAACTCTGCAAGAGCCCAAACTGTCTTACTCATTTTTGTACCGCCAATGCCAAACATGGAGAATTATGTGGCTCTTAATAAATGTTTATTAAAATTAACTGATTCATAGTCTTAAAGTACTTTGCACTATATACATTTTTTTCCTCCCAGAGACCTTAATTGTAATAATCTTTTATGCTAAAAAAAAAAGATAACAAGCACATAGTTGAAGAATGATTTTTCCCATCATCTGAGAGCAAATGGACTGAAAATTTAGGACTAGAATCCACTACTTCTCACTCTCAGTCCTAGTCCTAGTCTAGTTCTATTCTCTGTGGCCATTGTCTTTCAGATTGCTATGAAGGAGTCTTACTTAGACTAACACATTTTTTTCATTCTTCCCCAAGGTCTGTCGAGTTGCTTATGAAATCATGCAAACACTGCATCCTGATGCCTCTGCAAACTTCCATTCTTTGGATGACATCTACTATTTTGGGGGTCAAAACGCCCACAACCAGATCGCCATTTACCCTCACCAACCTCGAACTGCAGATGAAATCCCCATGGAACCTGGAGATATCATTGGTGTGGCTGGAAATCACTGGGATGGCTATTCTAAAGGTGTCAACAGAAAACTGGGAAGGACGGGCCTGTATCCCTCCTACAAAGTCCGAGAGAAGATAGAAACAGTCAAGTACCCCACATATCCTGAAGCCGAGAAATAAAGCTTACGATGGAAGAGAAGGACAACCAAACTCAGTTCAACCATTTGAGCCAAACAATAGATGAAGAAGGCCCTGACCTAACAATACATGGTTAAATCAGTAGATACCTTCAGCACCAGGAGCACCTGAGAACTGACCGATGCTTCATTGGTGGGATTCCTCTTTAACAAGGGCTACAATGCGCCCAAACCCATGCACAGTTCAATAATGTACTCACTTATTACGTGCAGACAGGTTTTCTACTTTGCCTCTTCTTTCAAGATTATGTCCCCATGAAACAAACACTGCCACATTGTGTAATTTAAGTGACACAGACATTTTGTGTGAGACTTCAAACATGGTGCCTATATCTGAAAGACTTATGTGACCCAGTGAGGAGACCTGAATAGCTCCCTACTGTGGGGAGGCTGATTCTTAGCCAGTGGTGGTATTATAACCACTGAATTCACTCCAAGCAACAGATTCAGAATTGAGACTGGATGTTTTTGTCTGGAATTTTTTTTTTTTAAGTAATTCCATCAGCTCATCCACTTCATCATTAATAAGTGAAGGATACATCAAAATGATGTATCCATTAGGAACTTTTGTAAAACAATGCCATGAACAGATTCTTTAGTACTCAGTGTTCCTGGACATTCTCTTTGATAACAAAAAATAAATTTTAAAAAAAGGAATTTTGTAAAGTTTCTAGAATTTTACATATTGAATGATGTGGTGGTCAGCTTTATAGTGGAAAAACTATGATAAAATGAGGAGTTTTATAGTTTTTCTGCTTTACTTTTTGTTTTTTTCTGTTTCTGATCGACTAATCAAGTCTTAGCTCAAAGAGTCATTGCTTCATTTTAAGACTGAAAACTGAATTTAGTTGGTGCACATTACAGAGTTGCTAAGAGCACTCTTTGGGAGCTTTTATTCTTGTATCTTGAACATTGTTTATTTCTTTTAATTGAATTAAATTATCATACTCCTTGCCCTCAGAGGAACAATCACCTCCATTTCCAAAACTAACAATTTCAGGCTTGTTGGTAATCTTTCTTATTGTAGCTATTGTCACTTTTTGAGTGTTGGGTCCTCCTGTTTTATCCTGGAACAAATTTGTGCCCCTTCCTATCATGTCCTGCTTTTGAGAGTACCAGGAATCTTTGGGGTTGGAAAGCTGGCTGTTTCTGAAATATGTGTCTCACAGTATGTAAAATTCAGTGAACAAAGGAGAGAGGAACCACCGTGAGACCCAAAGTGATCTTGGGATTATCTCTTCCAGATACTTCCTTTTAGTAATTCCCTGTTAGAATCACTTCAGAAGAGACTTCGATGCTCTATGTTTTCTCTCTGAACATCACTTTTCTCCATATAAAAAACACTTCCTATTTTCTGTAGCCCGCCTCCTTTAGATGCCTAGCAGGAGTATTTCATAGCATGTGTTCTACAATTGATCCATGTAGGAACCAGTAGCAGGCCTGGTGTTGAATTTTGGGAATCCCAGGAAGAAAGCTCTGTTCTTTACATCCTCACTAAATGAAAATATCTGTATACAAAATCTCCCCACCAAACTTCCCTAAATTTTTTCTCCCTCTCCAGTCAAGTCTCCCAGAGAGCAAAAACTATCTGTCGTGTCAGTAAGCAATTTTCAATTTAGTTTTGATACAAATAAGTCATTTGAAACAAAAATCTCCAGCTGAGCAGAGGTACTTTTGAATATCTTATTTTGAATACTTTTATTATTTTCTAATTTGCATCTCACTTGTCATCATAACATTGGTTACTGTGGGTTACTGATAATAACTGCTTTATATTTCTCTGTAGAGTTCCTGTTTTTTATTCATTACAAGCTTTTTTAAAAATATTTTACCTCATTGAACATAGTTATAATAACTGTTTTATAACTTAATTGTAATAACTGTTTTAAAAAATCCTTTTCTGCTAAATCTGAATCATTTTAGAGTTGGGCTCCATTTTTTTTTCTCTAGAGAAAGTCATATTTTTTCTGGTTCTTCAAATGTTGAGTAATTTTAGATTGTATCCTGAATGTTGTAAATGTTTATGTTGTATATTCCGTTATAGTTCTCTGAAGAGCGCTGTTTGTTTGTTTGTTAGCAGGCATTTAACTTCATTGGATTTAAACTGTAAACTGTCTTAGGCAGCAGCTCAAATCTCAATTCAGTTGTTTTATCTTTAGCTGTAGTCTGTCCTACATATGTATGGTTCAGGGGTCAGCCAGAGATGTGTGTAGAGTTTATGCACAGAATATGGGACTCTCTTTCTTTGTCTCTCTTTCTTCTGAGGTTTCTTTCCTCCCTCGCTTTCCAGGAGCTGTGGTTGCTCTGATTCTTCAACCAGAAAGACTGCAGTTTTCTGTGAGCCTAAAAGCCGTAAAAATGGGAAACTCACCTTGTGCATTCATTCCGTTCTTCCAAGTTTTAACCTCTCTCCAGAATTCGCCTGCTTTTTTGTTTAGTCTCCAGTGCTTTTGGGTAGTTGTTTGTATTTTGTCAAAAGTTTATAGTTGTTATCCATTGGAGAATCCATTCAGTAGGCACTTGAACACCACACCACACAGGAAGTGAAAGTCTGAGGCAGAGACTTAAAATGCAAAAGCATCGTGGGGGAAGGGGGAGCCTAGTCCCATGGCAGCCTCTGTTTAGACTCTGGCCTTAATAACTACAGCCAGTAGCTTCAAGCAGGAAGGAAGATAAAAAACTAACCAAATTGTTAAACCTGCAGGTGTGAAAGGCTAATGAATACTACTGACCACATCTTACTGAAAAGCTTTTCTGAGCCTCTTTTTTTGCAAACCATCATGTACATACTGGTAATTCCTCCTGAACATGCTGCCATATTAGGACAGCTGACGTGACCTCACCACTGCTGTACTTCCTTCATGAGGACCTCGTACTTAAAAAAAACTGCGTGGTTTTGAATTGAATAACCTGGGCTAGATTAGGAAAATTTGAGTCTTTTCCTTGTTATAAGACCCATTTCTGAAGGAGCCTTACGTAGAACCAAATTATTAGCCTAGGCTCATTGAATGTGGGTACCAGCCTTGTGTATTAATAACAAAGCAGTTAGAAAAGGTCTTACCAAGGCTTTCCTGGTCCTACCACTCAAATCTGGTTTAGTGCTGAGCTGGCACTTAAGAGCTCATGCCTGTTGTGAAGGGCTCTTAGCCCTAATCCCGGGTTTGTGTCCCAAATGAAAAAGAGACTAGCTGCTTTCCTCTCTGAGCATTAGTTTTTTGTTTGTTTGTTTGTTTGTTTGTTTGTTTGTTTGTTTTATTATATAGAATCTTGGCTGTTTCCTGGGTTCCCTCTTAAGTAAGTTGAGAACATGAACAGCCTCAGCTTCTAAGGGAGTTCCTCAAAGAGAAAAAGCACATTTAAAAATCTATCTCATAGAATGATTATCATCATCATTTAGTTCTGAGAGAATACAATCACTGTGTATTCAGTATACAGGAAAAGTATTGGAGTCTTAAGTAATGCATCTAGAAGAATCTCCTCTGCCTCAATGAAAATAAATCTCCTTATTTGTGGGGGTAACAGACAAATCCTCTTTGACCATAGCCAACTTCTTGGTGTTTCATTTGTGCTCCCAGGAGGCCACGCAACGATCATGATCGATAGACCTGTACAGAATAGATGCGTGGCTTGGGGGTTGATGAATTTCGGAACTTGGCTATAATACCCTAATTTATGTCAGATGCAGGCTCTGGGGAATTTTTAAAATGCATTGCCCAGAGAGAAGCACAAATGAGAGTTTGCCTCTATACTTACTGGTTCCTGGCAGCAGTCTTTCTCATGGAAGCATGGAGGAGTTCCAGGATTTTTGGCAGGGCAGAGGCAGACCTTGGCAGGTTCCTTGGCTTCAGCTGTCATTGACATTATGCATGTTTGAGCCACTTGCCCTGTGACAGTGTATTTATTCATTTTTGGTTCTTCATACAAGTCAGAATCTCTGACTCAGTACCTGCTCAGCTATTCAGCTTTGCCATCTCCAGTCCAGTTCAGTTGCCTCCTGCTTTCTGTTCTCCTTATCCTTAAATAAGACAATCTTGATTTTGTATGCCTACTACTTTTACAGAGAATAATCTCATGTGAATGGTTCCCCTGTTACTATTCCATTCTTCATGCAGCTCCTATCCTAATTACTTGTACAGACTATCGTTTTGTCATTAGCATCTCCAAGGCATAAAGGGAACCAAATATCCCCTTGGACAGTTTTAGGTAACATGTTCCTGGACCTGAGGTATAGTGAAGCTATAATACTATGTATTTGTGGCCATTTAAGCTAAAGATTTCAAATATTTTCACAAATCAATATCACTACATTTAAGGGGAGTATAGCTAGAGCATCCTTTGTGTAAAACTGTGTCAATCTAGACAGAGTCTGCACTTCTTTTAAAGCAGTGTCTTGAAGGCCATGGCCATAGCCATTTGATGTTTCGGGGGAAAAAGCCAGGAAGAGAGTTCAGAGCTCCTACTGACCTCCTGTCATCTGTAAATGTTCTTTCTAACCTCTCCTCTTGAGTCAATGCCCCATGGAGCATTGTTCCCTAACTGCCTGTGTGGGTAGAGAAAGGGCCTCTGACAAAGGAAAAAGCATGTTTGTTCATAACCCAGCTGGGCATGAGACCATCTGTGGAGGCTGGGAATGTGCAGATAGTTTAGACTGTGGGTGTGGCTAGCAGCCTGAGGAATGCTGGGACTTCGAGTTTCTGGCTAGTTTTAAATTCCCTAGTACAATAGATTACATTCCCTGAGAATTTCTGGCCCAGCAAAGGGAATGGAGGGTAGTGAGTGCAAAACCAGAAGACCTAGTTCTCACTTCTGTTTTGTCTTGTGGTAGTACCTACAAGCAGGTAATGTCTCTGTATCTCAGATTCTTTTTTTTTTTTAATTTGTGTTTTTTTAAATTGGGGAACAGTGTGTTTTTCTAGGACTCATCAGCTCCAAGTCAAGTAGTTGTCTTCAATCTAGTTGTGGAGGGTGCATCTCAGTGGCCCATGTGGGGATCAAACCAGTAACGTTGGTGTTATGAGCACTGTGCTCTAACCACCTGAGCTAACTGGCTGCCCCTCAGATTCTTGAGGGGAAAGATCAGTAGTACTCACTGAAGATCACTGAACACCTGGCCTTCTCATTTTGACTCTGCCATTAAATATAGATAGGTCAAATCGTTTTTCAGAGCTCCATTTTCTTCATCTGTGCAATGATTTGGTTGGATTTAATAAGTGTTGACATATGTTACTGTCTTGTTGGGTTCCACATGTATAAAGAGGGTAGTTACTACTCAGCCAAGTATTGTCCTAAGGACATAATGTGGCCAAATCTTTGTTTTTCAAGATCAGCGAAGTA